AGTGACGTGGGATGACTTGACATGCCTAAAAATGAATTCAATGAGATCTTCTCACATCTCCCATCATGCACCTTGCTCTCCATCTTCCTTAACCCCTTACCTGTCACCCCCCTTTTTGATAATTGACATTAAAATGCACTATACAAACTTAAATGGTTGTAATTCAAGAATGCTTTGGAATATAGAATAAAGAAAACAATCAGCAGATTATTATTGAAGTGAAAGCACTTCAAAAAATTAAAGTATGAAATGTTATGGAAGTTCTAATTTACAGTAAATCTATTAAATATATTTTTTGATATAAAATAAATATTTTACAAAATATTTTTACTATAAAATTACTATAAAATGAAAGCTATGTTCCAAATTTAAAGTTGATATCACAAATTTTGAAGTTCCCATGAGATTTTGTTTAGGCGTTATACCAAAAATAGCCACCGGGTGCCATTGAAGTCCATTGAATTTAATTGTATGCATTCTGCCATAACAAATTAATAAAGTTCTATCCAAATATCACTTCTGTCACTAAATATGGAACCTTGAGACTCAGACCTTTCTGACAATGTGTGTTTTGTCAAGATTAGAAAAGGTTTTGATAATAAATTATGAAAGATGATGCCCAAAAGGGGAGGGGCCTAATAAAAAAAATACCGTTTCTATGGTAACGCATTGTCCAATTTCAAAACGGTTTTCACAGGATGAATTCTCAGTTCGTAAGCTTTCAAATGATACCTAATTTATGATAACTACTAAAATATGTGATATAATAATAATAAAAACATAATATTTCTATATATATAATATATTATACTTTTAGAGGACTTCTTACCTTACTGTTTAAAATATAATTTTATCTTTTTTGTATTGAAAAATACTAATTATGTTTTATTATGAACTTTTAGCACTAAAAACCAAAGTTTCAATTATTAAAAGTGTGTGCGTCGACTTTTTGTGACAAAGGTCAAAAACTCCTGTAATGACGTAGATTTTTTTGAGGCGCACTCTTGTCATAAATTCATATATTACTGTTCATTCATAATTTGTAAGAAAGAAACAGAACTAAAATATCTATTTAGGAGCCTTAGACCTTTCCAACGATATATAGTTTGTCATGACTAGATTAGGATTTAATAGTAATATCGTGAAGTAAATTTAGATTGCAGTTACTGCCGAACCTCACGATGGAGGACTAGTTGAGGATTCAGTCATTCTGATTCCTCTCGTGATTAAGTGGTTTACGATTTACCTCCTCTCTGAAGGTGCGCACTTGTTCTTTACAGCCTGGTAGTCCTTGGATAAACTCAGTCACCTACAGAATAACAATGGAGGAGGATTAGAGGAGGCGCTTCAAAACAAATCAGGTGACCTTAAATAAAAGTGGCATTAACTCAACAGAGCGTAACAGGAGGGACAGGAGATGCGTGTACCTCATCCACACTCCACGCCGCCACTTTACCGGCCGTGATGCCCGCCACAGTCGGAAGCAGCTTGCTGTGCTGATCCCAGCAGTGAGGCATGCTGGGAGATTGGCTGGAACATGGCATGAATACAGACTGGTGCAAAGCCTGCTGCAGAGTCAACTCTAAGAGAGAGAGAGAGAAGGGAGAGTTATTAAAGATCTATTCTGCCCTTTCTCAGAGTCTTGATGATGTTTTCAGGCTCTACTAGAACATGTTTTTCTGCTTGTTGGTTTTGTTGATGAAATAATGTTGATTATTTCCTCATATTCTCATATGTGCGCCTTCAGCTTCAAGCTCCATTATTCTCCAAGATCAAGAGCACATTCATACAGCAAATTATTCCAGTTTCAGGTAACTATGGTAAACAAGGTATTACAATAAACACATCTATACCTGCACATACTGAAACCACGCCTCCTCTATGATGTCAGAGTACAGCTGCTTCATTCTGACATGGTCTAGTTGCCAAACTCACTCTGTTTATATTTCTAAATGTTCCCTGATCTGTAATTACTCAACCATGCAACGGCAGACTCCTGTTCAACACTAAATATCTGTCCTCTGCCACCAGTGTGTGGTAATGTATGGATTCTATAAAGTAAAAGCAAAAAGCATAAGTGTATGACAGTCACATGAATGGGCTTGATAAATCATCTGCATGACTGTAGACGCAGTTTGTTGAGCTAACAGCTGAGATACACAGTGGCATGCATTACTGGTTCTCACTGTGAAAAGCCTGACAGTGAATGCACCAGTGCTGCGACTCAGAGTGGACGGACCCTTGTCCAGCCTCTCTCAAGGACAAGCCATGATTTATCACACGGCCGAATTTCATTTGAAACTTGAGCTGGATTTTGTCCTCTTGCTGCTGCAGCTCCTCCACCACGCATACACACTCCTCTTCCTCGGGATCCTCCTCTCTGGCCCCTCTTCCTCAGGCTCCTCCTCTTCCTCAGGCTCCTCCTCTTCCTCAGGCTCCTCCTCTTCCTCGGGCTCCTCCTCTCTGGCTCCTCCTCTTCCTCGGGCTCCTCCTCTCTGGCTCCTCCTCTTCCTCAGGCTCCTCCTCTTCCTCAGGCTCCTCCTCTTCCTCGGGCTCCTCCTCTCTGGCTCCTCCTCTTCCTCAGGCTCCTCCTCTTCCTCGGGCTCCTCCTCTCTGGCTCCTCCTCTTCCTCGGGCTCCTCCTCTATGGCTCCTCCTCTTCCTCAGGCTCCTCTCTGGCTCCTCCTCTTCCTCAGGCTCTTCCTCTTCCTCGGGCTCCTCCTCTTCCTCTGGCTCCTCTTCCTCAGGCTCCTCTCTGGCTCCTCCTTTCTGGCTCCTCCTCTTCCTCAGGCTCCTCTCTGGCTCCTCTTCCTCAGGATCCTCCTCTTCCTCAGGATCCTCCTCTTTCTCAGGCTCCTCTCTGGCTCCTCTTCCTCAGGATCCTCCTCTTCCTCAGGATCCTCCTCTTCCTCAGGCTCCTCTCTGGCTCCTCTTCCTCAGGATCCTCCTCTTCCTCAGGCTCATCTCTGGCTCCTCTTCCTCAGGATCCTCCTCTTCCTCAGGCTCCTCTCTGGCTCCTCTTCCTCAGGCTCCTCCTCTTCCTCAGGCTCCTCCTCTTCCTCGGGCTCCTCCTCTTCCTCAGGCTCCTCCTCTTCCTCGGGCTCCTCCTCTATGGCTCCTCCTCTTCCTCAGGCTCCTCTCTGGCTCCTCCTCTTCCTCAGGCTCTTCCTCTTCCTCGGGCTCCTCCTCTTCCTCTGGCTCCTCCTCTCTGGCTCCTCTTCCTCAGGCTCCTCTCTGGCTCCTCTTCCTCAGGCTCCTCTCTGGCTCCTCTTCCTCAGGATCCTCCTCTTCCTCAGGCTCCTCCTCTCTGGCTCCTCCTCTTCCTCGGGCTCCTCCTCTCTGGCTCCTCCTCTTCCTCGGGCTCCTCCTCTTCCTCAGGCTCCTCTCTGGCTCCTCCTCTTCCTCAGGCTCTTCCTCTTCCTCGGGCTCCTCCTCTTCCTCTGGCTCCTCCTCTCTGGCTCCTCTCTGGCTCCTCCTTTCTGGCTCCTCCTCTTCCTCAGGCTCCTCTCTGGCTCCTCTTCCTCAGGATCCTCCTCTTCCTCAGGCTCCTCTTCTTCCTCAGGCTCCTCCTCTCTGGCTCCTCTTCCTCAGGCTCCTCTCTGGCCCCTCTTCCTCAGGCTCCTCTCTGGCCCCTCTTCCTCAGGCTCCTCCTCTTCCTCAGGCTCCTCCTCTTCCTCAGGCTCCTCTTCCTCAGGCTCCTCCTCTTCCTCGGGCTCCTCCTCTCTGGCTCCTCCTCTTCCTCGGGCTCCTCCTCTTCCTCAGGCTCCTCCTCTTCCTCAGGCTCCTCCTCTTCCTCAGGCTCCTCCTCTCTGGCTCCTCCTCTTTCTCGGGCTCCTCTTCTTCCTCAGGCTCCTCTCTGGCTCCTCCTCTTCCTCAGGCTCTTCCTCTTCCTCAGGCTCCTCCTCTTCCTCTGGCTCCTCCTTTCTGGCTCCTCCTCTTCCTCTGGCTCCTCTCTGGCTCCTCTTCCTCAGGCTCCTCTCTGGCTCCACTTCCTCAGGATCCTCCTCTTCCTCAGGATCCTCCTCTTCCTCAGGCTCCTCTCTGGCTCCTCTTCCTCAGGATCCTCCTCTTCCTCAGGCTCATCTCTGGCACCTCTTCCTCAGGATCCTCCTCTTCCTCAGGCTCCTCTCTGGCTCCTCTTACTCAGGCTCCTCCTCTTCCTCGGGCTCCTCTGGCTCCTCTTCCTCAGGCTCCTCTTCTTCCTCAGGCTCCTCCTCTCTGGCTCCTCTTCCTCAGGCTCCTCTCTGGCTCCTCTTCCTCAGGCTCCTCTCTGGCTCCTCTTCCTCAGGATCCTCCTCTTCCTCAGGCTCCTCCTCTCTGGCTCCTCTTCCTCAGGCTCCTCCTCTCTGGCTCCTCTTCCTCGGGTTCCTCCTCTTCCTCAGGTTCCTCCTCTCTGGCTCCTCTTCCTTGGGGTCGTCCTCTCTGGCTCCTCTTCCTCAGGCTCCTCCTCTCTGGCTCCTCTTCTTCGGGCTCCTCTCTGGCTCCTCTTCATCAGGCTTCTCCTCTCTGGCTCCTCTTCCTCAGGCTCCTCCTCTTCCTCAGGCTCCTCTCTGGCCACTCTTCCACGGGCTCCACTCTGGGTCCTCTTACTCGGGCTCCTCCTCTTCCTCAGGCTCCTCTCTGGCTCCTCTTCCTCAGGATCCTCCTCTCTGGCTCCTCTTCCTCAGGCTCCTCCTCTTCCGCAGGCTCCTCCTCTTCCTCAGGCTCCTCTCTGGCTCCTCTTCCTCAGGCTCCTCTTTGGAGCACATGCTGTTTCGCGTCATTTCGCTACAAAACGTGGTTTGTAAACAAGATCACGATGTGTTGTGTGGTGTGAAAAGCTAAACAACTTGAACACTCCTGATTTCACTGAGAGCAAGTCATGTAGTGTGAACCGCACAGTTCAGCCCGACGTTTTAAAATCATGTAGTGTGAACAAGGCCTAAAATTTCCGGGATCAGTCCTGTGTGAACAAAAACCAGGACCAATGCCGTAAGGGGTGTGTCGTAGTGATGACGCTTGTGCCATTGCAATGACGTAGTTATCGTTGCTCTTAGAAGAAAGTTTGTGTTCGTCATCAACGAAGAAAGAACGAAAAAAATGTCTGCAAACAGGAACGAAGCAGAGACCAGGAGCTCCTCCTCACTATCCACGCAGAAGCGGAGATCATTCGCCAGCTTTGTGGAACGGTTTGTTTTCAATGCGTACGTTACACATCGCATCCTCCTGACGTCACGTGTCTTTATGGGATCTTTGCGGGATGTTTGTGAACAGATTTCGGAAAATCACTGCCAGTGTGAATGAACCGTGTATTTTCCGTGATCTCTGTGTGAAAGGGGCTCTACAGTAGCAACAGCTGTCGCTTTGATGACTCAAACGTACCGTGGTTCTGGCACAAAAACACAGTGTGGACACAATCGCAGGTGTAGGGGCGCAATCGAGCTCTGCTTCGGGCTAAGCGTGAATTCAGTCCTTCACAACTTTTCAAGACAAAACGTGCTCGTACTTCAGAGTGAGCAGCGCTCTAGTGATGACACTAAGGCCCCGTCCACACTACTGCGTTTTCGTTTAAAAACGGAGACCTTTTGCTACGTTTGCACCTCCCGTCCAGACTAAAACGGGAAAAACGAAGACCTAAAACGGAGAAGTTTAGAAACGCTGCAGCTTTTTCGTTTTTCGTTTCGAATCTCCGGAGGGCGTTTTAGTGTGTGGACGAGACAAAACGGTGGAGTTTAGAAACGCTGACGCAGAGGCTGACGCTCATAGTGTGGATGGACAGCGCATGCCCAGTGTTGGTGAATGGTCACGTGATCCGTGTTTTCAGTCGTTTTAATGTGGACGGAGATCATTTCTAATACGCAGATAAAACGCTGGTGTGGACGGAGATCGTATTCGTTTTAATTCTCCGTTTTTAAACGAAAACGCAGTAGTGTGGACGGGGCCTAAGGTGAACGAGCGCAGTCAGTCCTGGATAATCACTGCACAGTTATAATGCCATGGATGCCCATTAACAGAGCACACAGCCAGTGGGAACCATCTGATGTCTGTTATATAAACACATGAATGTCTCTGATAATGGCCCATTAGCGTCATAAAAACATTTCCTCAAGGGAATTCATAAAGACCATGCTCCAGAATACATCTAGATATCTAAGAGGTAAAGAGGTTTGTTCTCAGTCTATTAAACCTGGATGAAACTCTCCTAAATCATCCTCTAATGTATTCCAGTGAAAAAGTTAATAATGACATGAACTTGCACTCGAAACTCAAAAAGACAAATGAAGTGGCGGTATATCAGGTTATGTCTCTGCAGTGTGTTTGTTTCATATAATAATTGAGGCGTTAGAATCTGAATGCATTATGGGATGCCAGTGCAAAAGTCCCCATTATTTCTATAGCGCTTTATACAATACAGATTGTTTCAATTCAGCAATTAACTGGAAAATAATAGTGTTAATGTTGCAAAGTTCATCAATAAAAAAACAACACATTTAAAGGGATAGTTCACTTTGAAATTAATTTCTGATATGTTTTAGCTTACTGTTTCCACAGTATTTTCAATTTTGACATTTTTCAGTCAAACCCTTTTTGTGGAAAGTGTCGT